AAAGTGTGTTATTATTATTTTTCTTTTGTGCAGGTGACCTTCATTTAATACTTTGCCCTGTGTCATCACAGAAGGATGCCTGAAGTACCTTCAGAGAAACATGCTGCTTTTGCTTCACTGGCTGTGCTTATGCAAAATGACTTAGACAGAACAATACATATTGAGTTGTCTTTGCTGTTTTGCCTGTATGTTCAAAATAAATGTCTTGCATAATGTCGCTGAAGGACCTTCAAAGTTGAGATTCAGCACTTTAATCTCACAGTTATTGTTTAATATCAAAACCTTTTACACTGCAAATGTAAAATGCGGCAAACTGCGGTTATAAATCCACTAATCCATCATTTTATGTTTCCGGTCCAGAAACAATGTTTGTTCTACGTTATTGTAAGTGTGCAAGTGTGTACCTTTACCAGGTTAACAGTAAAACATATAGAAATAGATTGTGACCTGGTTTTTTGTACATGCATGTGTGTGTGTGGGTGGGGGGGGGAGGGGTTGGAGAGGAAGGAGATTGCAAAACTTGGTGCTCACTCTGATCAGCTTGTTTCTTCCTGACAAAATGCTGTAGATCAAAGTGTAGTGTGTTCCTGAGGTGACAAGAAGTGATGAAGGGGCCAACCCCCANGACGCAAACCAGCCTGCTCTACTAGGGACTCATGGCTGAGGGAGTATCTGGACCTACTGAATATGGAGCGTGCAGCTTCTCTGCTGGGGGATTTTGAGGGGAGACAGGAGGATTGCGGTTCACTGTCCGCAGCTCTCCTATCTGACCCTGTCAATATGGTATCTCCTGTATAATGTATTGTGTATGTAATATCCTGTGTATGTCACAATCAGCTGTCTGAAGTCATCCTTGCATCCCCCCCCCCATTATGTTTTGTTTAATTGTTTGTTGTTACATGTTTTGTTGTTTGTTCTGTTATCTGGAGTAATGTCTGTTTATTTTATAAAAAAAATTAAAATAAAGAAAATAAAGAACCATTGTAGCATTCAACATAAGTCTATTTGTTTTTTTTACCATTTCTGCATCCTAACATCATTTCTGGTAACACCAGAGACAGAAAGCAGATTTAATTGCCACCGTCGTATTTCTCTGACAGCCATTCTCTCGCCGTGAAACATGATAATCAATTTATTCTAGGAAAATGAGACGTTGTTCGTTTGCGACACTGGAGACGAGCAGGGCGGGGAGGTGAAGCCTCACAAACCCAGACAGGTAATTGGATCGCTGCCTGGCGCCACACACAGGTGCAGATCTGAGATCTTAGCAATGATCGGGATATTAGTTACACTAGAGAAAGTGGAGCACTTTGGGATGAATGTCTAAAAGAAAACCAACCCAAGTGGGTCTTAAGAAGCAATTTATTGCAGAGAGCTAAGATTAAGTCATAAATACAGTATAGTATTATTGATAACAATAATACATGTAATTGATATAGCATTTTTTCGAACTATTTAAAGTCGCTTTACCAAACATGTCACACAACAAACAAAGACGCAGTTCAGCGGGTGTAGGAGTTGGATGACTAGTGATAATGTCATCAGAAATCCAGATGTCATTGGGATAGCTGGGAAGAAGTTTAGGAACATGATTTTTCTTTTTTATTGTCTCGCACTACTGTCAGGATATTTGGAGAATTTCAGCAAATAGGACAAAAAGCTGTTTGTATCAAAGTTAGTCTACTGTGAAGGTCTCACAATCTAAGTTGTTCCCACTAGTCAAAAGAAAAGCTAGATTGTTTTTGATCTGTGAGTATAGTGAGTACACCTTTTAGTATTTCATTGTGTTACCCCGGTCTTTGAATATCAACCGCTGCTCTTTTCTTCTCTCTCTCTTCGCTCTTATCAACATTTCTGTCTGTAGCAAATGTATCTGTAAAGGAAAACTGTTGTGCACTTTAAAGCTTTTGAAAATGGTATCCTAGGGACCACAATGCCTTCATCTCCACTCCTGCCACATAAAAATACACGTATGCATGTAACTGTCTCTGTGCCTTTTCTGTAATGTGTCCATGGTGGAAATAAAGGCTATAGCTGTAACAATTAAAGCTCCAACAAGGATGAAAATCAGGCGCAATTAAACAAATCTGAATCAGAAAGTTGAGCTGCTGCAGAGAAAGTGTCTCATTATGTTGATTCATGATGCTGCAGAATATAACAACTTGAGGAGGGAAAATCCACATATACAGGCGAAAAATACTTACATTTCAGCGCAGTGAGGAAATGTTTCACCAACTTGACACACTGTTAAATTACAATATGTCTGCCTAATGAATATGTATCAATCCAAAGGTGGTTTTCTCTCATGTTTTGCTTCAACGGTGAGGTTATTAATTTCTGTTGAGAGTCTTTCTTCTATGAATGAGAGCATTTGCATATTGTTCTCTGCAGTTTGTTTCTTATTCCCAGGCAGTTTTCTTTGTTGTGCTGAAGTCAGATAATAAAAACAAAAGAGAAGCAGCTCAGTGGCAGTGCAGTATGAAAAGGAGATACATGAGGAGAGTAGGCTTTGTATTTTCTCACATGGGTTCATCTGTTATACTGGGCAAAAGCATGGCATTAGTCCAATTAAAAATAAATGATAATGCGTTTCATTTTGCACAATTTTAATTGAATTGTATATTTCTATATTGTCTTATGTTCTATATACTATGTTGTTGGAGGAGTTCTGGACTTAAGATGTTCACTGCCATAACTACACTGTACACCTTTGAATCTGTTTCCCATCATTAGCTATTTCTCCCTATTTATTTTGTCATCTGCACTAAATAATATCTTTAACAAACATATGTTCATCCCATTGTTTTTAATACATGCCATTTTGATTCTAAACATCATATTTATTTATTTATTTGGTTTTGTTCCTTGGCTATCGATTTATTTCCATCTCTGTCTGCAGTACTTTCTCCGCCTCAAGACGTCTTACCATCCTCACCCGCCGTCGTCATTTATTTCTTCATCACTTCCTTTGTTCCTGTCCGTCTGCCTGGAGACACGCGGCTCTTTCATTCTTCCAAATTTAACGTGATTCGAAGTCCAGTTTAAGAGACAACAATCAATCAAACATGTCGTTCATGTTTGGTCTTCCATCTTTTTTCCCCTTTTTTATTGTTGTTCCAGTCACCTGTGATATTTAAGGGATCCCTGTGGCATCCATCTCCTTCACCTCCCAGACAATTTACATCTAAATGTAACATTCTGATAAAACACAAGGCATTCATGGTTAATGCTGCTGTTATAGAAGGCAAAACCACTGTGTATGTTTGTGTGTGTTTGTGTGTGTGTGTTCAAATCCCTCCTGTTCAATGTCGGGAAGTATTTCATGCAACTTAACTGTGTATTGATTAGAGAAATTGATTGAAGCTTTGTAAAACATTGGCGAGTATGTTCAACACACCCACACATCTTTATTGTCAAAGCCAATTATTCTGTATAACTCCTGTTTGTTCCTCGCACACACAAATAAAACCATGCCTATTTATTTTTGATTGACTGACAGCACTAAAGGGCGCCGCCCTGATTGGCTGATGGTCCTGCAAAGATTGAATGTGATGGTCAAAGAACAGCTCAATCTTTGCTGAGCTCAGGAAGTAATTGATCCATAGGGACAGAAGAAATCATTCCTGACCTGAAATGATTTTCCACTCCTTGACAATATGTGTGATTTGTTATCATTTTGTACTGATCATAGGAGGTATTCTGTTGATGTTCAAGTGGGAAGAGAAAAATGTAGACAACACTAGACGAATAGAGAGGGATTACATATCCCACCTGGCCTCACAAACCCTCACAGTCCCTCAGAAAGCGCTATGTGGCTGAAGAAAAAGACGTCGTGGCTACTTTTTAAGCCTGCTGCTATCAAAACATTGACCAGCATTGATGGGTAGGTGGATAAATGTATATATTTGTTTGTAGAGTTATAGTTCTCTGAGGATGAATTCTGCCTTATAATTAAACTCTATCTGTTTGACTAAAGTTTCTGACCACTCAAATTTGGGTTTTCTTATCGGTACCCTATAAGAACTGATCTTACCTATACTGATCTTGTACCCATGCAACATTTGAATCTAGATAGGGGTATTTTAATGTGTCAGCGAATTATGTGTATTTACTTATAGTGCGAGCAGCTATGGGACGAAAAAAAAAAAAAAGTGAATTACACAATAACATGGGTGATTATTTATTTTAGAATCTGAATACTTTGCATTTGTCTGATGCAAAGTGTTGCATCAGACCCCCGCTTCATGAAACGCCTCCATTGGACTCCTTTGTTTAGAATAGAATCGGAGGGATAATGGTCACACATGCAGAGCACACAGCACAAACAGTGAAAATTGGCCTCTGCATTTAACCCATCCTAGTACCAGGAAGTACTAAGAGCAGTGGGCAGCTATTGTACAGCGCCCGGGGAACAATGGGAGTGGGGGGGAAGGGGGTTGTCCGGTGCCTTGCTCAAGGGCACCACAGCAGGGCAGGAGGTGAACTGGGACCTCTCCAAGTAGAAGTCCACACTCCATATTTAGGTCTGGTCGGGGACTTGAACCGGCAACCCTACAGTTCCCAGTTCAAGCCCCTACTGACTGAGCCCCTGCCGGTGACGGTTATAATATGTGTACCACTATTTTTGTCATATTTACCTGTAATAATCATTTGAATTGTTGTTGTGTCCTATTATTTGTTTATGAGAAAAAATATATAAGAAGACAAATCTATAATGTTTTGCTTTTCATAAAATATTTTTACGTTATGTTGAAATGTGGTGATGGTTATAATATGTGTATCAA